CCTGAGTGAGTGAGTGAGTGAGTGAGTGACATATTTGCATATCGGAGTCCCCGCAAGAAACACGTTTCTACGCTTCGCGTATCCACGAGTTTAATAAAAACGACTAACACACACTTTTATTCCGTCATTAGATAAAAATCCCAGAGTTTTACAAAAACTTGGTTTTGACCATGACATGTTAAGAGGTGAGAAAATATGGCAATAAAAAGTACTGCATGAAATTTTTTTTACGTATTTGCACGTTTGGAGCAATTTTCTTCTAGAATTTATTGGGTTTTTTTTTATATATTTCTTTCCATTTAGAACGACCGGAATTTTCTGCCTAACAAATTTACTTATACTATAGTTCACTTAGGTAAAAACTAAACAATATTTGAACCTGTTCCATTATTTACGTCTACGACATTAAACTCTTTCAATTAAGTGCCGAAAGCTGTATCCAGAATTGCTTTGATTTCGCTTTGCTATGTTTTTCAATTGGTTTGAAAAACATTCGCCACATGCTCATCTAATCAGATACAAAACCATAGCCAATCACAACCCGGTCATGTGCGTTTTCCCGCGCTTGTAACCGTTTTCTTGTATTTCCCTTCGCGCTCTCGTTGCTTTATTATGTTAAAACATTGTTAACGTTTATTGTGACCACTTTAGTCTGGTTTAACGACAGTTAACACTTAAATAAGCTCACAAAATAGCTTTTCAATTCGTGTTTTGATTCTCTCAGCAAAAGCACAACTCCTCAAAGGAGAAGTAGAACACGATAAAAATGACTTCAGGAAAGCTTTAAGTTGCTACACTGAAGGAATTGAACTGAAGTGCACAGATGACAAACTGAACGCCAAGCTTTACTTGAGAAGATTGCAGTCGCATGCCCATCTGCGTGAGTTGACACGATTGTTTTTGTTTTGTTTTGTTTTGTTTTGTTTTTTTAATGTTTTACTTAAGTGAATTAAAATATCTCAGTTCAAAATGTAAAAAAATGTAATTATATATATTGTCCAGTTTAATTGCTATACATTTCTTTAATTTGGCTATTTCGGAGAATTTGGTAATAGATCGTTTGATAATTTCGTTGCTCCCATCATCTGTCTGCTTGATTAAGTATTAATATTGTAACGAGAAAAAGCCAATCTCACGTCTTCCTTTCATGAAAATAATATTGTTCGTTATTGATGAGAGGTGCAGTGTAATTTTGTGTATTAGGCGCCAGGTAAAGAGCTTTCATAGAAAGCAAGTGATGGCCTCCATGTTATATTCTTCAACTAGATATTTTACTCTCGCAGTGCTCCTCCTTACTAAGAATCCCCAGGGGTATAAAAAAAGGGTAATAGGAATTATTCAGGCAATTTGGCCGAAAGGCTGAAGCAGAAAGCCTTTGATGGACAACCTTCCCATTTGTAAGCCAGCCATAAACCATTACATGACCCCACAAGCTTTGAGCTTTAATTCTTATCGTGTTTAAATAAAGGATATGTATGTATGTATGTATGTATGTGTGCGTGTGTGCGTGTATGTATGTATGTATCATGCTTCATGCTTTTGTAAGCTACCATACAAGAATACTTCATCTACCAAAAATGGTGCTCCACAAGGTTATGTCTTAGATCTCTTGTTGTAATGATCAACATTTTCATCAGTGACTTACTTTACTTCATGTAAGAGGCTCAGCTGACAAATTACGCTTACGATAATCAGCTCTGAAGCTGCTGTTGTTGAAAATGTTCTCATCAAGGAACTTGCGATTGTGTTTAATTAATGGCGAAATAATAGGATGATCCTAAACCCTAAAAATGCAAGTCTCTGGTTCTGCATGTCGCGTGAGCCCAATATTAATCTGTCCTTGTGTGCTGAAGGAGTAAATATACCACATGGTAATTCTTGATGACTCAC